ACCATGATAAATGCCAGAGCGAGCTCTAGCGTACTCCAACACACCCCCAGGCTGGGTGAAACTCCGGAACAAAACACCTAGCGAACCGGAACACCCCCAGAAGTGGCGAGACGAGCGAGCCCAAGTGCGCGCACGTAAGAACGGTGTGGCGCACGAAGGAGAGCCTTGGTGAAAATGTCAGCAAGGTTGTCAGTAGCGGCCACCTTGCGAAGGTAGAGGAAGCCAGACTGCACCAACTCGCCCACGAAGAAGTAGCGGACCTCGATGTGTTTGCTGCGAGCATGATAGACAGAATTTTCAGTGAGGTGAATCATGCCCGCACTGTCACATGAGAGCGTCACATAGGGTTGAGAGTGACCAAGCTCAGCAAGGAGAAACGAGAACCAGCGTGCCTCCTGAGCCGCCAGTGTGCCTGCGTACAACTCAGCCTTGCATGTGGTAAGGCAGACAGAGGATAAACGAGTGGAGCGCCAGCTGACGAGGCCACTGCCAAGTGTAAAACCATAACCCTGAGAGGAGCGGCGATCAGGGCGAGAATCAGCGTAGGAGTCACTGTAACCGGAAAGAACAGGGGGAGAAGAGCCACCAAGAGTGATTGCAAGATCAGAGGTAGCGCGGAGATAGCGGAGAACGCGCTTGGCAGCCGCCCAGTGCACGTCAGTGTGGCGACCAAGGCCAACAAAACGAGAGAGGACACTAAGGGGGTAAGCAAGATCGGGGCAAGTGCAGATCATAGCTTACATGAGGGAACCAACGAGCTCAGGATAGGGTCGCAGTTCTGAGGAGGGAGTGGGAACGGCAGGGGCAGTAAGCTGATGGTTAGCGGGAAGAGGAGTGGAAACTGGCTTGGCCTGCGACATTTCAAAGCGCTAAAGAATGGAGTGGATGTAGAAAGCTTGAGAGAGAGAGATGGTGCGTGCAGCACGATCACAACGAATCTCCATGCCAAGGTAATGACGAAGTTCGCCAAGATCCTTGCATAGAAGACGCGCCTGAAGGGTCTGCTTGACAGCGGCAAGGTCGGCAGAATTTTTAGCGAGAAGCACCAAGTCATCGACGTAGGCAAGAATGTAAAGCCTGTGGGGGGAGGTGCGAATGAAGAGACTGGGGTCGGAAGTGGAGGTGGAGAAGCCAAGAGAGTGAAGAGTGGAGGAGAGCTTAGCATGCCACTCGTGCGGGGCCTACTTAAGACCATACACTGGGCGCTTTAGCTCTCAGACAGTGCCTGGAGGGAAGGGGCGAGGAAAGCCAGCGGGGTGCTCAAGGAAAATGCGCTCATGAAGCTCGCCCTGGAGAAAGGCATTGGAGATATCCATAGAGTGAATCTCCCAATCCCAGTGAGCACCTAGATCAAGAAGGCGGCGAAGTGTGGGGAGACGGGCAGTGGGGGAGTAAGTGGCCAAGTAGTCAATGCCTTCACGTTGGGTGAAGCCTTTGGCGCAGTAACGTGCTTTGAAGACAAGAAGCTCCCCGGGCAGGTGTTTGACACGAAAGACCCATTTGCCCTTGACAATTGTGGCGCCAGAGGGGGGGGGGGACAGAGTCAACGTAAGATTGAGTTCTGGTGAATGCCTCACACTCGGCAATGATGGCAGCCATTCAATCTGTTGCATGAAAGCCAGACACTGCCTCAGAATAAGTCTAAGGGGTGGGATTAGCGGCAGTGTCAACGGAGAGAAGAGTGGGAGAATTGGAGAAGTCGTCAATGGTGACACAGAGGAGGGGTGAAACGGGATGAACAAAGAACAGCTCTTCAAATTGATCCTCGAGAAAATCGACGTTTGGAGAGGGAGAGAGATGAGTCAAGAGAGCAGAGTGTTGAAAATTGGACATGGCATATGTCATGGAGCAGGTGAGACGCGGAGAAGGTGGGGGAGCAGGAGCAGGAGGGAGAGGAGAAGGATGTTGTGAAGGAGAGGGCATGGGAGCCGAAGAGGAAGAGGCAGGGGGAGAGGGGCCAGAGATGACAGCAGAGGGAGGGGTGGAGAGGGCAGGGAGGGGAGGCGGAGCAGGGGCAGGAGGGAGGGGAGAAAGAGGGAGAGCAGCAGAGGGCAGCGGATCAAAGTCAGTCTAATGAAGAGAGGGAGGAGAAGGGGTGGGAGGGGGGGTTAGGAAAGGGGAACGAGTCTCATCAAAGATAACATCCTGGCTGTGAATGAGCTGCTGAGAGGAGGGAGCATAGAAAAGATAGCCAGGACAGTCAGAGTTGATGCCAATGAACGCACAGAGCTGCGTCTTGGGAGAAAGCTTCCCACCCTGACGTGCTCGATCGGCGGGATTGATGAGGACATGGGCGAAACAGCCCCAGATACGAAGAGGGCGAGCGGAGGGCTGGCGGCCAGTCCAGAGCTGGAAGGGTGTAATGGAAGGGCGAAGGGGATGAGGGCGAAGGTTGGAAAGAAGAGTGGCATGAAGAAGAGCGTAGCTCCAAAGTGAGTGTGGAGCAGAGGCATGAGTAAGGAGACAGCGGGTGATCTCTATGAGAGTGCGAATACGACGCTCGGCAATACCATTCTGTTCAGGAGAATGCGGAAGGGTGGAGGTTTGGCGATTGCCATGAGAGGAGCAGTAAGAAGAGAGAGAGTGGTTAAAGAACTCGCCACCACCGTCAGAGTGGAGGCGTGCAACAGGACGGCCAAAGCGAAGGCGCGCCTGCTCAGCCCAGCGAATGATGAGAGAGGGGGCGTCAGATCTGGCACGGAGGGGATAGACAGTGGTAAAGCGAGAGTGGTCATCGACAAGAAGGAGAAAGTAACGATGACCCTGATGGGAGGCAATGGGAGAGGGACCCCAGAGGTCCATATGCACAAAATCAAGGGGTTTGGGGGAGGCAGAAGGGGAAGAGGGATGAAGAGATTGGGAGAGCTTGGCTTGAACACAAGGGGTGCATGGAGGAGCGGGAGAGGGGTGAAGGGGCAGGAGAGAGGAAGGGAGATCATGAAGCAGCTTCGAATTGACCATGCTGCAAAGGAGAGGGAAGTTGGGGTGGCCAAGGCGATGATGGAGAAGAAGGGTAGGTTGGGTGAGAGAGCGACAGTCGCAAGAGGAGACAGGAAGGGCAGAAGAAGAGGAAGTGTGATTGATAGATGAGAGGATGGGAACACGAAGGGTGTAGAGGCGAGTAGTACGAGAAAGGGTGAAACGAGCGAGGTGCCGGTCGTGGTAATGAAGATCACAATAGAGTTCACCTGTGGGGAAGAACGCTCGCACACCCAGACGTTGGAGGGCAGGGAGGGATAGGAGGTTATGACGGCAAGAGGGTGTCAGAATATTATAATTGTCTAGCCTGCAGTAGGGTACTCTATAGCGAGTACAACCCAATTAGGGTTTCCTATATGTATGCCAACTGCTGCTAGTGCAACCCCCTCTCTTCTTCATTCCTCATTTCTTCACATGGTATCAGAGCATCTACGCTCCTGGCCTGTGGGCCCACCTAATTGCTTCCGCTGCTACTCTGTGTGCTACTCTTAGCGGCCCCGTCGCCGCCCTTCTCGGCCCCTCGTGGCCCCTTCGCGGCCCCGTTGCCGCCCTTCCAGGCCCCTCGCGGCCCCTTCGCGGCCCCGTTGCCGCCCTTCCAGGCCCCTCGCGGCCCCTTCGCGGCCCCGTCGCCGCCCCTAACGGCCCCGTCGCCGCCCTTCTCGGCCCCTCGCGGCCCCTTCGCGGCGCGTCGCCGCCCTTCCAGGCCCCTCGCGGCCCCTTCGCGGCCCCGTCGCCGCCCCTAGCGGTCCCGTCGCCGCCCCTAGCGGTCCCGTCGCCGCCCCTAGCGGCCCCGTCGCCGCCCTTCGCGGCCACGTCGCCGCCCTTCGCGGCCCCGTCGCCGCCCCTAGCGGCCCCGTCGCCGCTCTTCGCGGCCCCGTCGCCGCCTCTACCGGCCCCGTCGCCGCCCCTATCGACCCTGTCGCGGCCCTGTCGAGGCCCTGCCCCGGCCCTGCCCCGGCCCTGCCCCGGCCCTGCCCCGACCCTGCCCCTGCCCCGCCCCGGCCATGCTCCGTCGCCTGGCGCGGCGCACCGGGGACCCGTGCACCGCCCCCCCCCCCCTCTTTTCCCGTCGCCCGCCGCGGCTCCCTGGGGGGCCGCGCGCGGCCCCCTCAGGTCGCCTCGACAGGCGACGGGAGGGGCGACCGGGGGGGGGGGGGGGGCGGGCGTCGCCCCTTCTGCCGCCTGTTTTGGCGCCCTGGGAGGCCGCGCGTCGGCCCCCCCTCCCCCCCCCCCCCCCCCCGTAACCTCCCTACCCGCCGTCCCGCCCTGCCCTGTGTTAGGGTCTGGGGGTGGCGAGTAGGGGGTGGCGGGTGTGTGGTCTCCCCTGCTCCTCCTCCTCCTCTGTCTCCCACTGCTGCAGCTGCCGCTGAGGGGGTTGGGTGTGTGGGAGTCGACGGAGTGGTGCTAGGGGGTGGGGTGTGAGTGAACCTAGGGTGCAGCAAGGGGTGTGTGAAAGGGGGGTGCTGTGGGAGTGGAACTAGGGTTTGAGCAGGGGGTGTGTGTCGAGGGGTGTGGGGCAGCTGGAGGAGGTTGTGTGAAGGTAGCTGTCATGTCGCCTGCAGCGCCTGTAGTCCGTCGCCCTTGCTTCGGTAGCCAGTGAGCCTGTTGCACCAGTCGCCAGTGGGTCCGTTGCTCCTGCCGCTCGTCTATAGCCGCGGAGCCAGTTACTCCAGTAGTCCGTCGCCCTTGCTTCGGTAGCCACTGAGTCAGCCGCTCCTGTGCCCGTGCCTCTGCAGCTTCAGTCGTTGCCTCCCATCTTCTCTCCCTCCACAGTTCCTCCTCCTCCTCACTTGCCCGCTGTGATTAACTCTAGCTTTGCTCGCTATTGTGAACTCCTGCTCTATGCGTGCTTGCTCATTGTGCTGATTACACCCCACTTTGGCTATGGGGGTGTGTCAGAATGTTATAATTGTCTAGCCTGCAGTGGGGTACTCTATAGCGAGTACAACCCAATTAGGGTTTCCTATATGTATGCCAACTGCTGCTAGTGCAACCCCCTCTCTTCTTCATTCCTCATTTCTTCACAGAGGGAACATAAAGTCCTGTAACAGCGCCAGAGGGAGAGGTAGGACAAGGAAGAGAGGAAATGCCAGTGCAGATCATGGTCATGGTCTCCCCAGCCCCATTGATAAGGAAAATTGCGAAGGACACCGGCATCACAAAAGACAGAGTCAGTAGCAGCACTATCAAGGACAAAATCAAAGGTGCGAGGAAGTGAGAGAGTGGCAGCCGTAGGGCTGGGAGAGTGAGAGACAGTGCTGGGAACAGGTGGAGAAAGTGGAACGACAAAACGAGGGTCCATGAGCGGAGAAGCACCAAGGATGCTATCCAGGGATGGCATGGTCACACTGAAAACAGAGGCCAGAGAACCAATACCAGAGGTGACAGCGGCACAAGAGTGGCGACGGTGGTGGGACAGCGGAACCCAAGCAGAGGGGCGGAGAAGAGGGGAGGTCCATCGGCAAGTAGGAGAGGTGCAAGGGGAGGAAGGGGCAGCGAAGGGAGCGGAGATTAGGAAAGGCAAGGGTAGGAGAGGAGGTACGGCAGGAGACGGGTGAGGGCGGAAGTGCCAAGGAGGAGAGGTAAGAGCGAGAATAGGCTCCATCGGGGGAAGGGGGTAGCAATGGAGAAGATGTGGGGATATAAAAGAGGAGGAGGAATAGGGACGAGGTAGTCAGCTGCTGAGCCATTGAGGGGAGAAATAAGAGGAGGAGGGATACTGGCGGAGTACTCTGCTGCTGCGCCGTTGAAAGGAGACATAAGAGGAAGAGGGATAACGACAGAGTAGTCTGCTACTGCGCCGCTGGGGGGAGAAATAAGAGGAGGAGGGATAATGGCGGAGTAGTCAACTGCTGCGCCGCTGGGGGAAGAAATAAGAGGAGGAGGGATAATGGCGGAGTAGTCTGCTGCTGCGCCACTGTGGGGAGAAATAAGAGGAGGAGGGATAACAGCGGAGTAGTCTACTGCTGCGCCGCTGAGGGGAGAAAATAGAGGCAGAGGAACACAGTGGGGAAGGAGCACGGCTACGAAGCAAGGCTGGCAACCAGCTGCAGCAGTAGAGGAGAGGATAGAGGCGGAGGAGAGAATGAGATGGGGAGGGGAATGAAGGGAGAGAAGATAGGAGGAGGAGGGTGAAGGGGCGGATGGTGAGGAGGGGTAGGTCTTGATGAGCAAGATTACGAAGCAAAGCCGGCAACCAGCTGCAGCAGTAGACGAGAGAAGAGAGGTGGAGGAGAGAGTGCGATGGGGAGGGGAATGAAAGGAGAGAAGAGAGGAGGAGGAGGGTGAAGGGGCGGATGGTGAGGAGGGGTAGGTCTTGATGAGCAAAATGACGAAGCAAAGCCGGCAACCAGCTGCAGCAGTAGACGAGAGAAGAGAGGCGGAGGAGAGAGTATGATGGGGAGGGGAAGAAAGGGAGAGAAGAGAGGAGGAGGAGGGTGAAGGGGCGGATGGTGAGGAGGGGTAGGTTTTGATGAGCAAAATGACGAAGCAAAGCCGGCAACCAACTGCAGCAGTAGACGGGAAAAGAGAGGCGGAGGAGAGAGTGTGATGGGGAGGGGAAGGAAGGGAGAGAAGAGAGGAGGAGGAGGGTGAAGGGGCGGATGGTGAGGAGGGGTAGGTTTTGATGAGCAAAATGACGAAGCAAAGCCGGCAAACAACTGCAGCAGTAGACGAGAGAAGAGAGGCGGAGGAGAGAGTGCGATGGGGAGGGGAATGAAGGGAGAGAGGAGAGGAGGAGGAGGGTGAAGGGGGCGGATGGTGTGGAAGGGTAGTAGAGAAGGAGAGGAAATAGGAGGAGGAAGAAGTAAGGCGGTGCTTGAAGCATAAAGGAGAGTGGAAAGGCGGAGGGTGAGGGAGGGGGGGGGAGAGGGGGGGCGGATTGAGGAAGGGGAGAGCGCGGCGGGAGGAGAGGAGGCGCTCGCGAGTGGAAGGGCGGCCACAAGAAGGGCGGCCACGTGGGGCGGGGCGAGCGCAACCAGGGGGGAACAGAGCGCGCGCGGGCACAAAGCAGGGCGCGCGCAGGGCCGGGCACACGACGGTGAAACCAGGGCGCGCACGGCGAAAATAAGGCGTGCACGGCGATGAAGCAGGGTGCGCGCGGCGAACGACAGGGCGTGCGCATCAACGGTGGTAGGGGAAGGGCGGGGGCGCGGGGCGCGACGGCTTTAGGGGTCGAACGGCTGCCTAAGGGGGGAATCCGCGACTAAAAGAAAAGAAAAAAAAAGGTCGAGATGATAGGAAAGCGTGATTTTGCGGGTGCCTAAGGGTGCCTAAGCGTCTAAGCATTTTTAAGAGATGTGAATAATGAAGAATTGCCTAGGATTAGGCTCTAGATACCATGTTAAGAGAGTACTTGGAGCCATGGCTAGAGAGGATGGTTGAAGTGATAGACTAACAAGAATGTCGAGATACAAATGTAGGAAACCCTAAATGAACTTAGGGTGTGTTCAGTTTGCGCTAGAAACTAAGAAATGAACCTAAACTGAACTGAAAGTGTATCTCGCTCTAGACATGGCGAAATAACAAAAGAACACCATGATAAATGCCAGAGCAAGCTCTACCCTACTCCAACACCAATAGCTATGCACAATGACATATGCTCATGCAAACAATGCACGTAGAATAGCACGAGCACTTGGCACGACGCCAGGATGACATGCACTCAAACTGACGTGCATTCAACAAACTCCCCCTCAGACTAACGGTCTGCATGGACACACACTCACAAGCATGCAGACACTCATGCACACAAACACACATGCACTCATGGCACCACTGCCCGCACTAGTGCAATGCCATGCCACACATTTTTGCACACTTCCAATGTGCACTCTTAAGAAATCTCTTGGTGAAAAAATCTGCCGCCTGCTTGCTAGCCTTCACATGGTGAAGCTCAACAACTCCCTCCACCATCTGCCTCACACAGTGCCACTTAATCTTCAGGTGCTTGTTCAGTCCATTCAGGATAGGATTATTGGCCATGCCAATTGCAGCCTCGCTGTCGGAGAAATTTTGTGTAGGTCCCTGCTGTTCAGCTCCCATGTCCTCCAGCAGCTTCCTCAGGAGCACAATGTCCTTGATGGCATGGTACATCGCCATGTACTCTACCTCTCCTGAAGACTGAGCAATATGACTCTGCTTCTTGGACCTCCAGCTCACTAGTCCACCTCCGACCATGCAGACAAAGCCACAAACAGATGACTGATCCTCCTCCTCCGAGGCACATGTAGCACGACAGCTTCAAGGTTCATGGCGTGATTCCATCTGCTCCAAACTGTTTCAGCTGGCCGCTAGATGAAAACTGAACACCAGCAGATGCCGTTGATCCGACGTAGCACACCAAGCGCTTTGCCACCTCCAACTGCTCCTCATTGGACTGCTGCACAACCCTGGCCAACTGCCCCACTCTGAATGAAGCATCAGGTCGCGTATGCACGGCTGCAAACATCACACTCCCAATGTGTGAGGATCTAGGATCGAGCTCAGAAAAGAGAATGTGAATTGAATTGAATTGAATGATCACCTGGGTACAACACGAGGCTATATATAGGCTCGACACAAGGCCCCGTAACCAGGTGTTACGCGAAGGTTCCGCGGGTCGCGAAGCGTCCCGAACAGATCCTTTCCGAATTCGGTAGAAGGCAAGTCGGTGGCAACCGAAAAGCCGGAATTCGGTGCACGCAACCTAGCTCGGTGCTATAACTATAATAAAATATAGGAAAGCACCTAGCCTAGGAAATCAAGCAATTCATACATGCATATAATTATCCTATGCTAGAAATAGCATCATAAAGTAAAGGCAAGCAAGCATAGCTGGCATAAGCCGTCGTACTCTCACACGTCCCCCCCTCAAAGCTGGGTGGCGTGAGATACACCCTGCTTGACAAGATAGTCCTTGAGAGCACGGCGTGCATTGCCCATATCAGCTTCTGCAACCCAACTGTCCTCAGTGAGGTCGTATCCCTTCCAGCGTATCAGGAACTCGAGGGTCTTGCCGCCGCGGCGCCGATGAGTGGGAACGCGCTCCACTTCGTACTCTGGTGCATCCTGTACGAGAACCGGTGGTGGTGGCGGTAGCTGCTGTCCCTGGAACTGTTGGTTGGGGTCCTTGTAGGGCTTCAGTAGCTGAACATGGAAAGCGTTGTGAAGCTTCCATGTATCTGGTAAGCGCAAGCGGAATGTAACTGGTGTCACCTGTGCCTCAACGAGAAAAGGACCACAGAAGCGAGGCCGGAGTTTGGATGGGAGGTGAGACAGGTTCAAGTTGCGCGTGTCAAGAAGCACCTGATCTCCGACTGCTACTGAGTGATCTCGTCGCTGTCGATCGGCATACTGCTTCTGGGAGTCCTGCATCGTGGTGAGACGTCGCTGAGTCTTCTCCCACAGCTGCTGCATGGTGGTGACGAAGTCATGTGCGGCTTGGACGTGTGCCGGTGTGGTTGGCTGCTGTGGTGTAAGTGGTTCCCGTCCGTAACACAGGAAGAAAGGAGTTTTCCCTGTGGCCGCATGTGATGCGTTGTTGTAAGCGAACTCTAGGGTCGGTAACTGTGTGTCCCAGCGGCTGACGTCATCCTTGCAAGCTGTGTGCAGTAACTGTTCAACCACTTGATTGAGTCGCTCTGTCTGTCCGTCAGTCTGTGGGTGGTATGATGAGGACATCGCAAGTTTGGTCCCCAATAATCCCATCAGCTCCTTCCAGAACTTACTCGTGAATTTGGGGTCTCTGTCTGAGATGAGTGTAGCGGGGATGCCGTGGATGGTGATGATGCGGTCGAAGAAGAGGCGAGCAGTTGCTTCAGCTGTAGCTGTGGCGTTGGTCGGTATGAAGTGACCCATTTTGGAGAACTTATCGATGACTACGAGGATGGAATCGTTCCCCCGTGAGGTCGAAGGAAGTCCTGTGATAAAGTCGAGGCTAACGACCTGCCATGGCTGCTCCGGTACGGGTAGAGGCTGAAGTAACCCTGCTTTTTTCTGCTTGCTGCTCTTCATCCGCTGGCACGTGTCGCATGAGGTGACAAACTGCTGCACGTCTGCTGCCATCCCGGGCCAGTAGTAATACTTCGCTATCCCTGCTAACGTCTTGTTGCTCCCGAAATGTCCCGCGTAAGGTACGTCGTGAAACTCCTCCAATAGGATCTGCCGTAGCGGGGCGTAATTCGGTACCCAAATATTTCCTGAACCCTTCCTTACAGCTGAGTCTTTCTCCCACTGTAACAACTTCTTGGTCTGTGCTGTAGCGATTTCTGCGTCCACGGAGTACCCATGTTGGAATAGACCCTTGAGCAGAGGGTTCATCCTGTCGAGCTGGATGCCTGCTACATGTCCGGGGCGGCTCAACGCGTCTGCCTTGTTGTGTAGCCCGGGCTTGTAGACGATGTCGTAGTGGAAGTGAGTTTCCAGGAAGTCCACCCACCGCACTGTTGGTGCAACCCTACGGTTTGCATTCGGCTTGTTGTCCGTGTGCGTGCATGCGTGTGTGCATGGAATGGTATGAGGGCATGAAATAATATATATTTCATGTTTACAATAGTGTGTGTATGATGAAGCATGATTTTGAATGTGTGCGTCGAGTCAATAGCGAGTTATCGCTAGTCG